GTATTCAGAGCTCAAGTTAAATCAAGAATTTAAAAACCCGTCGAGAGTTTGCAAGAATTCGAATCGGAAGGTAAAAGGCTAGTGAGGTTGGCGTTTCCTGCGGCTGGGGAAGACATGCAGGAATGGATGACAGATTTGCGTTTATCAATGCTATCAGAGATTCCAAGATCCAGGAAAACCTGAGAATATCCAAGTTCAGAAAATGTAGCGAAGCCCTTATCCGAGCATTGGAACTGGAAGGTATCTTTGGTACCTCACGACCAAGAATACGAGCAGTATCCATTGAAGACCCAAAGAACGAACAATCGCCAAAAGAAGATGGTAGCTTCGAGAATCTCATGAGAAAGTTCATGGGGAAGATGGAGAAACTATTACTAGAAGTAAGACAAATGGGAAACGACTCCAAACAAACACCAACACCGAGAAACCGAGTAAAATGTTACCGGTTGCATACGCTTGGATATATGCAATGGAATTGTAGACTGAGGATGTCCTCTCCATCTAGGGATTGTTCCCAACGCTTTTGGAAATCCAGAGACGCCATCCCTAAACATCGACCTAGAAACCTGCATGAAAATGCTAACGCTCTATCCAGACGGGCATGCAAAGAAGACTGCAAGCATCATCAAAAAATCGATATGTCTGAGAAAAACACTGGTCCAGCTGTGAGAAGAACGGGTCTTATCGTTGATGATAAATGGACTACCAAACAAATGGGAGCAGATGACCAAGAGGAAGAGCAGGACATCGGGTAAATTCTACATCTTAAAGAAAATGATGAAAATAGGCCAGATTGGAGGGAAGTGTCGAACAAGAGCTTGATTTACTAGGCGTTGTGGGCTCAGTGGAACTCTCTGGTCGTAGAAAACGTTTGGGAAAGTGCCGATGGGAAAACTACTAAGAGCCAACTAGTTATTCCAAAAGATCGGGTAGAAGTTGTATTAAAGGAAAACCATGACGGAACCTCAGGGGCATATTTTGGAGTTAACAAGACTTTGGACAAAATTCGAGAACGTTTCTACTAAGTCTACTATCATGAAGACGTTAAAAACTGGTGCCGAAAATGCGACATCTGTGCTACCAGTAAAGGTCCTGAACTAAGATTTCGGGGGCCCATGAAACAGTACAACGTCTGTCGGTCTCCCATTTGAAAGAATAGCGATAGAAGTAGCCGGACTGTTCCCTGATAGTTAGATCGTGGTAACAAATACATCTTGGTTATTATGGATTACTTCAGTAAATGGCCAGAAGTTTTCGCTATTCGCAAATTCCCAAGAAGCCATCACTATTGCTCAGGTGCTAGTGAACGAAGTTTTTAGTAGTCATGGTATGCCACTACAGAGTTACATTCAGATCAGGAACGAAACTTCCAATCTGCCATCTTATCAAAAAATTGTGAGATCATGGGCATTTATAAGACAAGGACAACACCTTTAAATCCACATTCCGATGGCATGGTAGAACGATTTGACAAGATCATAGAGAAACACCTGACAAAAGTGGTCGTAAAGAACCAGCGAGATTGGGTCAAACATTTGCCTCTATTTTTAATGGCTTACAGAGCAGCTGTTCACGAGTCAACAGGTGAAAGTCCAGCTAGAATCGTTTTTGGAAGGGAACTCAGATTACCTTGCGATCTGATGTTTGAAGAAGATTCAAAAGAAATTCGAGATTATGCCGAACGAAGTAAGGGCACGACCTCTGGGGATATGTGATTTAGCTCGGGAGCATATTCAGCTGGCCAGTGACCGAATCCGAATGAAGACCAGATACAACTTGAAAGCCAATTCCTCCGGATTTCAAGAAGGTGATTTAGTGTGTTTGGTGTGGCTGTATAATCCAGCAAGAAAGAAAGAAGTGTCGCCGAAATTGTCTTCAGCATAAGAAGGATCCTACAGAATAATCAAGAGGATCAATGATTTGGTTTATCTAATTCAGCGCAAAACCAGGAGAAAGATAAAAGTTGTACATCTACACCATTTCCAAATCCAAGCGGCAGTAAATGACAAACTGGTCATTTTCATTACAACCTATCAAATGTCCTCCGTGCATGCGCACTGGTCCAGGTAGGGCGTTTCAACCAATAGGAAGGCTGATGTTGGTTTACAATTTAGGTTATTGAAATGTCATTAACTGCCGCTTGAATTTGGAAATGGTAGACACCTAGATGAAATATCATGGGCGCGAAGTTGATCGGGATTACGGATATATAAAGGTGTTAGTATTTTTTAAATTTAAGATTGGCTGTGATACGTTTTAGATAGTGATTATTAGCTGCGTATCGATTACCCGCGGCAAACTGTCGAACATTGGCTCCCGCGGCAGCCGCGGTCAATGGATACTACTTGCCGCGCGAGCCAACCCGTGCTCGAACACGCCGCGGTGCGAACCAATTTTTGTCGGTTTTTGGAGCGCGGCAAAGCAAATGCTCGCACCAAGTTGAGACGCTTGTGTCGTTATTCGAGTTGGATGGCGCGGCAAAATGACGTTTTACGGCAGGCTGCTCGTGCACGTGAAACGTCCATGGTTGCTTTGCAAAAATTAAACAAACATCTGGATCGCATGCCGCGGTCGGCAGCCGCGCTTTAACAAAGTTCATGTCTCAAGTGGCTCGCGCGGCAAATGAAGGTATTTTGCCGCGCGCGGCTGCCTCGCGAAATCGATACGCGGCTGAGTTGTAAAGAGTTAAGTTGTTTGAGTTAATTAGTGAAGTAATTAGTGTCAGAGTGTGTAGTAACGTGGAATAAATTATTGTTGGGTTAATTGGACTTTGATTTTGAAATAAACGGATCCAAGATTTCTGTCACACACCCCAGATCCGTAACGCGGAAAAGCTCATGTTTTTCCTGGCAATTTTGTATTCGCTCGTAAAAAAATTATGCACTCTTAAGTCTTATAATATAATAAACTATACTGTATCAGTCTTAATGGGAATTTCTACTACAAATTTCAAGTCCTGCCATTTTTGTTTCACTTTCAAAGCTACAGTCTTCTAAACAGAGCAGATAGAGTGTCACATCCAAATGATGCGTGCAGCAATAATGTGATCTCCAATATCTTTATTGTGATCGAAGCGTGAAGAATAGAATTTCTACTCGCCGTTTCCTCTGTCTAGTTCCTGGTTTGAGGAGAAACATTTCCTTATTGATGAGGTGTACGAGCAGTTGAAATTATTTATAAGCATACACACATCTTCCAGAACCATAACCGTAGTACTTTTGCATGATTCTATATTTCTATTTTTCGACTATCAGCATTGTCTAACAATATGAATTATTGTCTCGAACTTTTCAGTCAGCATCGAAAGCAAATTTTTGGTAGGAAGTTTCTCTTTTCACACAGTTGTAATCTGCTCATAAAAGTAAACTTTAACAAATGTGGCTTTTGAGGACCGACGAACACCGGATACGGAGCCAATTCTACAATACTCCAAGTAGGTGCGAAGCTCTTCATTTGTTCTCTCTATGACATTTATCCTTTGAAGCAATAAATAATGGGTCAATGCGCGGATCAATCTGGTATCCTGGGATAGGTAATACATTTCTATTGGCAGTCTTAGAAATTGTTGCCAATTTTTTCGTCCATCACAGCAGCTACAATCTTATAAGCATCCTGACATGTTATTTTTCCATCACCATTATCGACATAGGTAATTTCTTGTACCTACCTATAGGAGTTATGAGAATTCAACCGATAAGACAGTTTATGGACATTCTCAATATCTGTCTTTATGCGAGATTCAGCATTGAGATGATATTCCCCAGAGTGAAGGAAGCCCACAAAAGTTGACAAACCCCCATTTATTCACGATACTCTCATTTGTAAGTACTCCTGTATTTTCTGATTGTGTGATTTCAGCATCCGAATGATCGATAAAATCCCAGTTATCGGACTCGTCTTGGCAAATCATATCCTCCTGAATGCCATTAGACTTTTCTGAATCAGATGATTCCATATCGTTTCTCTTTAGTTTTTTAACTGTTTGTATACCTAGTTAAGTCTAGGTCCGCTAATTCTAAGTTTCGCTTTGCCTGTTTCATTTTTTTTGGATCAGGTTTTTCTTGCTTCTTCTTGGATTCTTTGAATTCTTCAAGATATAGCGAGGACGCGATAATTGCTGTTTTGCCTTGTCTTCTAGGTCCTTTTGTGTTTTGTTTTGAGCCGGTCAGCTTAGGAATAGGCAATATATTTTTCCTACGAGCGTGCGCAAAGTAGTACTTTTCCGCACGCATTTCGGTTCTCAAAGTTGCACTTTTCCGCACTCAGTGCGGATACAGGCCTTATCCGCACTGAGTGCCGAAAAGTAAAAATAATTGTCAAGCAACAATAAGTGCACCTGTCGACGTTGACACATGATGACAAATTTTTCCTCTGTTTCTATATCAGCCAACATCTATACAAACACCAAATTTAATTAACTTTGACACATTGTCAGATTTGTTCTCTATTGATATGCAAGAATCTACAAACTTTCTCATCAAATTTAAACGTTTTAGGATAAAGGGCTCTGACGATGATTTTCTGTTATTTTTTTTTTTTAATGTAATTTTTTGATAACTGTATAGATTCGCTTCAAGTTAATTAAAAATAATTGAACAAATTATTGTTTTTTTTTTCTAAATTTTTGTTGTTACCTACCTGATATGAAGCTCGTAGGAAAAATTTAGTTCCTAACACGTGCGCAAAGTGTCTTTTCCGCACGCAAACACAGTTATACGAACGACGCGAAGCGGAGTAACACTTTGCGCACTTGTTAGGAAAATAACTATTTCGGTGATATTAATAAAGATCTGGTTTTATAATTATTCAGCTCATCACAATTATTTAAGTTCAATTTCTGTGCCTGGGGCAGAGTGGTGTTTTCTTTGTCGCCTCGAAATGTGGTCTTATTATTATTGCTTCGCAAAGGAACATCAATCCAGTGGGAACATCCTGGTGTAATATACTGAGCAAACATGCGGTGTTTTTTGATGTAAGTGTTGCTGATTCTTTTTCATTATTTATTTGTTCTCTTTCAACATGCTTATCGGATTCTTGTCCTCTCTACCGTTATACTCGCCGGGTTCGTGCTGTTCCCTTCTATTATACTCCATGGGATCGTCTTGTTCGTTTTCAGTATGCTTGCCTGGTTCTTCTTGTTCTATTTCAGTATTCTCGACGGGCACTCCCTATTCCCTTTCTGTAACCTCAGAAGGAGCAATCATCAGCATCATCCGGAAATTTATTTGGATTGAAAGGGCAAATCCCAGAAGCTTTAAAACCATTTTGTGCATTTAATAAAGTCGCAGTTCTAACGTATGCTTTTGAGAATATTTTTCCCATATCAAATCGCAGATAACTCTATAATTTTCTTTGGTTTATTTCTCTGCCATATTTTTAATTCTTGTGTATGATAGTTATTTATTGGAAAGATAAAAGCAACATCCAGCGGCTGAAGGCGGTGTGAAGTGTGTGGTGGGATTGATAAAATAATCACGTGTTTTTCCCTAGGCTGCTCAATCAGTTTATTATAGGACTTACGCATTGTTAACATATTGAAACTCCTCGACTTCAAGAATTAATTGATGTCATACGACAGGGTGTATATTCACCTTCAATACAACAAACAAAAATAAGTACCTAGATTATTCTGTGTTTATTCTTATAATAAAATGTGTTAAGTTATAAAATCTTCATTTTTTACAGTTATCAATTTTTACCGTTGGCGATAAAGTTTTGTATGCACCACGTCAGTAAAGTGCCTTTATCGAACTCGCCCTTTTACTCGCCTCGCTCGCTTCGCTCGCTCGCTCAGACTCGTTCGATAAAATATCACTTTACTTTACTGCCTTGGTACATAATAGTTATTTACCTAACAAATGCGGAAAGTGATACTTTACCGCACGCAACGGCAGTTGACCGAACGACGCGAAGCGGAGTTCGGTCAAGCCGTTAAGGGCGGTAAAGGCACTTTCCGCATGTGTTAGGTACAAAATTTTACCTATGAGCATCTAAATCTCCAAAAAAAGACATTAATAAAATTAATTAATGAATCAGATTAATTAATGAAATTAGATAAGATTTAGAAATGATCAAAAATCCATTTTCTGAAAAAGAGGGGATTTTTGATTATAAATATTAAATTCTACTTTACCGCACACTTTGTATTCTACTTTACCGCATACTATGCTGTAAAGTTAACTTTACCGCACACTATGCGGTAAAGTGCACTTTACCGCATAGTGTGCGGTAAAGTGATACTTTCCATTTGCAAATACGTGCGGTAAAGTGCACTTTATCGCACGCTCGTAGGTAAATAACTATTACACGCGTCGCATGTTGCATGGCCATCTAAAATAAGAAGAACCGGGCTTTCTTCACTTGAGTGTATGTACATGATGTATAAAATGTGGAAACCAAATTTCGCTAAAAATATCAGATTGCATCCATCCGGAGCTATGATAGGCTACAACAAACTAAGCTAGCAAACCGATTACATAATAGAATCATTAGCTGAGGAATGTAATGCTCAGTAGCGCTGAAGCAAATCTCTGCAGTCATGTTGTTTCCCTTTCTGTAGAAGTGTAACAGCCAACTTGCTTCCTCCCTTTGAGGCCAAATATTTTTGTTGATTTGTTTGGCACAGTTGTTCCTGTTTCATCGTAGTTATAGATTCTACTAGGTGAAAATGCGTGTTTATCTATAAGAGATCCAAGAAAGTTGAAAAAAGCGTTAACTGAAACTCTGTTGAATCCTGCAGCTGGAGTTGCTGAATTATTTTCAGGGGTACGGAGAGAGCAGGGCCGGCTCCAGACATATCGGCGCCCCGTGCAAAAAATATTTTTGTCGCCCCTCCCACCGATTCCTATTTGCTAAACTTGCTTTTGATTTTAATTTTGTCCAGTGTCCTTATATGATATGTACAGTTGCGGTCCTTGGAATTGGCACAAATTTTTGAACGCACCTTTTAATGCATCAAAATTTGACGTTTTCAACAAGCCTTTAATGCCAAAATTGTATCAGTTTTGGCTTTAGATAAGGCGCGTTCAAGCTTGCGGACGCGGGAAACTGCTAGCAAGAGGTGTTTTCAAGTTATCGTTATTCGAACTGTTCGCGAACCAGTTGGAGCTGCGCAGAACTAATTGCGCACTAAGTAGTGAATTACCGAGTGAATTACAGAAGCTCTGCAACAGCAAGATACAAATGCAGGACCTGCAAATCTTACTTTTTGTATAACAGAAGCGGAATGCATTTGCGAGTCGCCTGCAAATTTGCGCATGATGAAACGGTCCTGTAAGTTCTTGCCAGTTCTTGCAGTCACTCTGACAATTTTGACATTTTAAACTGATAAATCAGTAGCGCCCAAACACTATTTTCGATAAATATGTGTCGGAATTGCAATTTTTTTTCTGTAATTTGCTCGTTTCTGCAAATAGAGCCCATATGCAAGTCGGCCATATTTGCAGAACTGCAAATATACTGTAATTGGGCACTAAAGCCTAGAATTACAAAAGCTGTTCGACACCAAGATACAAATGCAGGACCTGCAAGTCTGACTTTTCGTATTACAGAAGTAGAATGCATTTGCAGGTCGCCTGCAAATTTGCGCATGGTGAAACGGTCGGAAGCAAGTCCTTGCAATCACTTTGACATTCAAAACTGATAAATCAGTAGCGCCCAAACACTTTTCCCCGTTAAATATGAGGAATTTGCAGATTTTTTCTGTAATTTGCTCGTTTCTGCAAATAGACCACATATGCAAGTCGGCCATATTTGTAGAACTGCAAATTTGCAGATGCAAATATACTGTAATTTGGCCCTGAGAGTTGCAGTCCTTGGAACTGTGCTCAGATCGTTGGGAATCGATCAGAGTTTGAAAAAACCTGAACATGTTTTATTTTATTTTTTTACTGAGCAGGCGAACGCGATAATTGATGAAATTAATCGTGAAGCTATTGTAATTTGTAGTGTGGGTTTTTTATCCCAACAATTCTCCCCGATATTTTTGCCGCCCTTCGAGTTTGCCGCCCCGTGCAGGGGCACAGGCTGCACGGGTCCTGGAGCCGGCCCTGGGAGAGAGAGTTGCCGATGGCGCTTTAAAAACCCATACATCCAATCCTTGCCCGCAAGTTTGGTTTGGTCATTGAAACCGTGTTCAATTCCATTCTGGTCAGCGTACTGGTATGGAAGGGATCTTAGTTCATACGTGGAAATACCAAAAAACTATTTTCCTAATTCTAAAATATGCTCGCCTAAGTCATTTTCTTGATCTAAGGAAGGTGAAAATAGTCTTGAATCTTCCCAGTTTCTTTTTGCTCCCCTCAACCTCTCCTTTCCCACATTTAATTCTATGGTTAAGTGTAGCTACCGGTACGCAATACCGCCTGGTAGCTTCGTTTTGGGTAAGTTCGTTTGTCGTTACAGCTCTTATCGCTGCTCTCATAGACTTCTAGCCAATAATTTTGGTTTGTTTTTCTTTCATAGTTCCGCATTTCTGAAACAATATTTTCAATTACCTAACTAAACTGAAGCAAAGTGGAATACTATATCGTTTTGCCCCAGTGCCTAAATTCCACTTTGCCTCACAGGCTCAAAAATAAATAAATAGTAAATATACAGGGTGTCCGGTAAGTATATGGTATGGCTTACTCTCGGGAGCGTATAGGAGGGGTCAGAATAACCCTAATTTGTTATAAAAAAAAATTCTAAAGTGCCCCTAAACGGAGATACAGAGCCTCAAACGAGTACTGGGCGATTTACATTTTTGGCTCTAACGTTTGAAGAAGGTGCTTTACATTTGTTCCGATTAAATCAGCCGTTTCCGAAAAAATTAGGTTTTTGTATAATTTAAACATTTACCTTCGAAATTTATTTAATAATCAAGTTGATCCTAGATTAAGAAAAACAGGTAGACGTTGACTTATAGAAAGTAGGTATACCTTCTAATGGCAAAAAGGTTTGATTTCATCAGACTTTTTATAAGTCAACTTCTACCTGTTTTTTTTAAATCTAGGATTAACTTGATTATTAAATTTATTATTTATTAAATTTCGAAGGTAAATGATTAAACGTGCTATACAAAAACCTATTTGTTTTCAAAACGGCTGATTCAATCGAAACAAATGTAGAGCACCTTTTTTGAAGAGAAATGATCAAAGTATTTAAAAAATCAGTTTTTAGCTCTGTAAAATGATTCCTGTCAAAAAATTCGCACAATGAATATGGTGGCCTGTCCGTTCCTGACTTCCCAGACTATGTGAAACATCTACTGTAGTATATATGGTTTCACGAGTCTTTATGGCCAACATAAAATATTAAAACTTCATTATTATACAAGTCGATTCAAAAGTTAGAGCCAAAAATGTAAATCGCCAAGTACTCTTTTGGGGCTCTGTATCTCCGTTAGGGGGCACTTTAGGATTTTTTTTTACAACAAAGTAGGGTTATTTTGACCCCTCCTATACGCTCCTGAGAGTATGCCATTTGCTTACCGTATTTCTCTAAACCCTCCGTATATCTTTTTATTTAAAATGTAGCGCGTTGTCACTTGCTCGAGTAACTTCACTGATCTGATTGCAGTCTATCAGGTCGACAGGACAGCCATGCGGAAATGAGAAGCCAACGAAACGGCGCGAATTTTAAAATCGGATTTATGACTTCACCCCGCCATTTCACTTTGCCCCACTCTCCCCTATCCATAATATCACATAAGTTCAAATACAATGCTATATTTTGAAGAAACTATTACGTATACAATAAAGACCCTCCATCTTTTTAGTAGAGAATTTCCATAGCTTTCTTTCTGGCCTGATGCATTTCTTTCGTAGAACCAATATGAAACCTGAGACGTCTCGAAAAATTCGTTTCAGAACACGATTTTAAAACTTTACAGCGTTACCTTACCAAGTTTGTATACTTACAGTCTCACTTTGGGGACTTTTAAGACCCTATAATTCAGTACTGAAACCAGACTAGATGCAGTAGACATCTGCAATAAGTGAAAAAGTGGTGTTATTTTTGAATATTTATATTACTTAATGCATGCAATTGCCTAAATAAATATTTATAGTGATTTCTCCTTTTTAGTTAATTATTGGAAATTTCGGCCTTAGCTATGAACAAAGCAAGACCCAAATGGCAATATGGGCTATATTAGCCGCACCCCTACTGATGTCCGTCGATCTGCGAACAATCAGACCAGAGTACAAAGCTATATTACAAAATAAGAAAATAATCGCTGTAGATCAGGATCCATTGGGTATCCAGGGAAGGCGGATATACAAGGTAATACTTTTGCTTAGTTTATTTTTGTGTTAATCAATGAAAAATTTTAGCATAAGGGTATAGAAATTTGGTCGAGACCAATTACCCCATTATACCAAAACTACTTCTCCTATGCGATAGCATTTGTAAATAGACGGACTGATGGTACGCCATCGGATGTAGCTGTGACGTTGAAGGAATTGGGACTTACGTCTCCTACAGGATACAGAGTTGAAGTAAGATTCTTTCGAAATAATTTTAAACCCCAAGAACTTCGATTAATTTTTAATATTGCCAATGCAATAAATAAATCAATTATCATTAAATGTTGTTCTCTATAATGAGGCAATAAATTTCAAAGCTTAAGTAATCGTCCAAGTTATTATGTACGTATTATATTTGAAGTTTTAATGAATCTTGCATCAAATGCCTAATTAGAGTAAATAATGTTCTTTCAAAGTAGAACACTGCAAAGTTATTTAATCGTCGTGGGACGTCCTATTACTTTATACAGGCTGTCCCCGTTCAACTGGTCAATAATGCTGGGGTATACAAAGTGTCCCACGGTGGATGGCGTATTAGACGTTTATGGAGAACTAAAAAGCGGATCATTTTGAAAATTTGGCAACTGGGATAAACTACCATAATCTACGCTTTAAAAATATTTTTGTTTATGCGGCGTTGCCGCTTTTACTCTAAACCAGTGGCACCATCGCTATTTCATATGGAACACCCTGTATGTGATTACATATTTGGATTCTACGTATAATTCTGAGCAGATTTCAGGTGATATACCCTATACCTAAGTTCAACTGTTTTGGAAATATTGACAGTTGAAAATTGACTTTTTGCAACTTTGAGAAGCTGTAAAACCTAAACAGTTAATTTTAGAGGAAAACCGATTTTACATTCCTATCTTAGATTTTCATAAACTATCATTTGACACCAACTTTGAATTTAACCGGAGATTAAATTTAATTGGAATTTTTAATCATGGATTAAATTCACAGTTGGTGTTAAATGATAGTTTATGAAAATCTAAGATACGAATGTAAAATCGGTTTTTCTCTAAAATTAATCGTTCAGGCTTTATAGCCTGTCAAAGTTGCAAAAAGTCAATTTTCAACTGTTAATATTTCCAAAACAGTTGAACTTAGGTATAGGGTATATTACATGAAATCTGCTCAAAATTTTACGTAGAATCGAAATATGCAATCACATACAGGGTGTTCCATTTAAAATAACGATGTTGCCACTGGTTTAGAGTAGAAGCGGCAACACCGCATAAACAAAAATATTTTTAAAGTGTAGATTATGGTCGTTTATCCCGGTTGCCAAATTTTCAAATTTATCTGTTTTTCAAGTCTCCATAAACGTCTAATACGCCATCCACCATGGGACACCCTGTATAGTGCAACCATAGAGAAGAAGTTCGAGATAGGACACCGATGGTCGCAAGTGTGTCGTTTCCAAAATACAGGGTGTTGAAATTTAAACAATCTCCTTCCATATCATCTGAAGAGCGGATGCTAGGCTGCTCAAATTTACAGGGATTATTGATGTAGGAATGATATTTAAAAATTCGTATAATGCACCCTCATTTTCTACCTGGAACCATCCCAAAATTCAAATTTAATTTTTTTTTGGATGGATCCAGGTAGAAATTGGGGGTGCATTATACGAAATTTTTAATATCATTCCTTCATAAATAATCCCTGCAAATTTGAACAGCCTAACATTAGCCCTCCAGATGATATGAAATGGGGTTGCTTAAATTTCAACACCCTGTATTTTGGAAACGACGCTCTTACGACCATCGGTGTCCTATCTCAACTTACTTCTCTATGGTTCCTCTGTAAACCCTAGCTTTCTTGACCAGTTGAACAAGGACACCCTGTATAAATATATATATTTTTTTTTAGGACTTGTATGAAGATGTGGATTATGGTGTATTGTCATCACAGACGAAAATTAAAGTAAAAGTAAACCCATCAGGTAAAAATTTGGTAGATGAAACAAAGTATTCTATTATTACCCATTGATTTTTTTTAGGTGTCGTAATTTTAAGAGCAGACGTACAAGCAGATTATGAAAGACGAGTGTCATACTACACAACACAAAGAACTGCCTACAACCCCCTCAACCAAGTTTTTAGAATAAGAAATAACGGATTTTAAATTAACTTTGATTAAATAAATTATTTTTTTGTCCAATATAGGACCATTTGTATATTTTTTCTCCAAACTAAAAATAAAACATCTCTAAATTAAAAAAAAAAAAAAAAACAAATATTTGAACAAAAGAATGTATTATTAGATAAATATGTAGATACAAAGTTAAAACTTTTATCTCTATTATAACAACTCTATCAATTGAATGTTAATACATTTTTGAAGAAAATTACATACTTCAAATACAATTATATCACCCTTGATGATGTTGCAGTGGTGTATTATGAATTTTGCTTTCCTAAAAATAGATTTTTCAAGTAAAGCTTTGTATCTTACAAGATTTAGGGAAAAACTGTCAAACTTCCAACCTATTTTCCCATTAATCAAAACAAATTTATTATCTCTAAATCACTCAAAAAAAAAATACAATTCATTATCATATCCTAATATCTACAACATATTCCACTGGGTGGTGATGTAATGATTGCCATTTTCAATTTGTCTAGCAATTTCTTCGTGAATACTGTGATTCAGCCACATCATGTTCAGTTTTTCGTATCTTTCGTAGTTCAATTTTAATGGATTTCCTCTGCGAAGACCCTGGTCGGTTTCACCATGTTCGTCTAGATAGGGTGGCGACATGAAGCAACCCCTGTGAGGGGAGGCAAGAAGGAGCAACTCACAATCACGGATTCTTAAGAATACTCCAACACCTAGACAAAAAAAAAATAAAGAATGGGTACTTAGATATTAGGTTTGTTCGCACACAAATCACAAACCAGTCAGAGCGAATTTCATTGATTGGAAACAGCCAGAAAACTAGTGTCAACCAATGAAATTTACTCTTACTGGTTTGTGATTTCTGTGCGAACTGATCCAATATTTGGAAAAGTTTGAAATCATATCGTATTACTAATGTAAGTATATCACCACTTATCCATTTACTCAATGTATGGGTTTAGAAGCTAGATGACAATACAGGGTGTCAATTATAAATATAAAGTACCACACCCTTTAATATTTTTATATTTGATCGTACGTAAAAAAGTTACAGATGGTAGAACTTTATAACTTGACACCAGGTACCTATACAGGGTGTGGTATTACAAACTTTGAAGTTGGATGGTTCTCTTCAAAATAAGAAATCGTTCTATGAACATGGGATCGCTGGTTCTCAGGTACTGAGAGGGATATAAAAAAAACTCAACAAACCTGTATAATTACAAATTAGCCATATTTTCTTCCAAAGAACATCTCACACTTCTTATGGATTTCGGTCACCGACAGATTTTGTTGAAGCTTTAGTATATTATTTTAGCATCTCTCATTGCACCGACCTTGTAGCGATACAGGGTGATATTAAAAAATTAGGTCAAAGATTTTTTTATTATCTACTGTAAAATATTGTAGGTAATTTAACTTTGGTTGATAAAATTAGGCATTTAAAAAAAAAATAAAACAATATATATTCCAAAAGTGGTATTATTTTAATCTTTAGCGTGTACAGGGTGGTCCTATTGGACACTTTTAATAGAAAAAGCTTCACAACTTTTTTATTTATGAAAATAATTGATTTCCGTTAAAACTTTCCAGAAGCACTTTTTCAAGCAGAATCTGATGACATTCTCAGTTTTTTGGTATTATGCCAGTATTCCGAGATATTGACCAAAGTTTGATTTTTCTAAATAGGAAACCTTATAGGTATTCTAATAACTCATTGGATAGCCCTGCTTTTGCTGATTTCAATGATATAAAGTTCGATAGGTTCATCTTTCGGATTTTTTGAGAAAAAAATAAAAAGTCCGTTTTTGTCATGAGAACCTTCGGTTAGAAAAGGACTTTATATATCTGTAAGTTAAAGGAGAATGGTCATTATCCAACACATTGTTTCTTATGACAAAAACATATATGTATATATTTTTTTTCTCGAAAACTCTTAGAGATTAGCCGATGGAACTTTATATCATTCTTCTTCTTCTTCTTCAAGTGCCTTGTCCTCTAGGAACGTTGGCAATCATCAGCACTATCTGTACTTTGTCGACTGCTTTTCTGATAGTCTGATAGACTTGTCGTGGTTTCGCCATACCAGTGACACAAATTCTTTGGCCAAGATATTCTTCGACGTACAGGACCTCTCCTGCCTTCGAATTTTCCCTCGATTATGAACTTGAGAAGTAGGTATCTGTTGTTCCTGAGTATGTGTCTGAAGTACTCTGACTTTCGCTTTTTAAGCGTAAACATAACTTCAAGTTCTGTGACATTCTCGTTAGCACGTCTATATGTCCACCTTTCAGAAACCTTTAGCTTTTAACACATGGCGTCTCTTAGAGTCCACGCTTCAATCCCATAATAGAGAATACTGAAGACGTATCAACGTAGTAGTCAATAGTGTGAACGGAAAGCGGAGAGACCTGACTACACATCACGGAATTCACTTTTACAAATGATGCTCTGGCTTGTTCAATCCTGGTACGAACCTCCTGCATATTATTCCAGTCTTCATTAACCTGACATCCTAGGTATCTGTATGATTGGACCCGATTGATATGTTGGTTCTGTACCTTAAAACAGCTCCTCCAACCTGGTTTTTAATAATCACCATCCATTTAGTTTTTTTTTTTTTTTGGCGTTCAATTTCAATCCAAATTCAGTAGCCAAATGATCAAGTAATACTTGAAGACCTTCCAGAGAATCAGCGACTTAAACCGTATCGTCCGCATATCGAAGATTGTTAAAGTTCGCGCCGTTGTATGATATATTCTAATGATTTTTCAAATATTTTGTTCGAATAAATATTAAAAAGTAATGGGGAAGGATGCAACCCTGCCGGACACCTCTTTTTATCCGTACTTCGTCAGACATTTGTTGGTCTACCTTGATTTGTGCAGTCTGATTCCAGTAGAGATTGTCAATTATCTTGAGGTATCTATCATTTAGGCCTAGGCCTACATCCTTGAGAATTTTCATAATCTTCTCATGTTGTACCGTGTCAAACGGTTTCTCATAGTCTACGAAGCATGCGTATACAGGAACAGAAACATCTCTAGATCTCTGATCCAGCAGTGCCAAAAACCGTTACAAAAACTAAATTGGGATTCGCCCGTGAAGGACTGGCACTTTGCGTAGGTATATTCTTTCATGAATGATCTTTAGAAAAATCTAACGGCTAACAAGCCGATAATCGCTACATCTTTTTGCAGAGCTTTTCTACGGAAACGTCACAAATGTTAAAATAAGCCAGTCAGGGGGAATGAAGCCCGATCGGTAAACCATATTGAAAAGTTTCACCATTGCGTGTAGTGACTCTTCATTTGTTAGGCTTTTAATAAGTTGTGAGTAGACACCGTCTGGACTTGCCACTTTCCCGTTTTTATATAACTGAATGGCGTGTTGGACTTCTTCCTTAGTAGTTATATCTAATCCTTCTCGTGAATACTCTTCAGGAATGTCCCATTTCTTGTCCTGAAACAGGATTTTGATGTAGCTGCACCACTGTTTTACTTTGTCGTTGACATCAAGAATCATCTTACCTTGACTGTCCAACAGAATTCCGGTTTGTCGAAGTTTGTATACACCAGCAGCTACTTTAATTTTGTCAAGCATATTAAAACTCATATTTTGCTTCGAGGTCTTCGATTTCACCGTTCGTTTAGCCAGTTTTCTTCAGCTACCCTGACTTTGCTTTCTATTTCACGCGCGATTCAACTGAAAATATGCTGGCTGGGTCTCTCTGCAGGCGTCTCTCTTCCATCAAGTCGAGGATTTCATTAGTCATCCAAGTTTTTTTCCTGACTCTAGTGTTGATGGAAATTTCGAGCTGAAGCTAACAAAGGCTTCCCTGATGCCGGTACATACAGTCTCCACTTCTCGATTCTCAGCCCTGTTTATAACGTTTAGTTTATTATCTAATTCGTTATAACTTCGGCCAGAGTTGTTAAGTTGTTTAGTATTGTCAGATCCAGTCTCGGGCTGTTAGTTTTCTTTCTAGTGTCAACTGGATGTTCGCTGCAAGTGGATTGTGATCCGAATTTATATCTGCTCCAGGGTAAGCCGAGTTTCAAGATTTGATGTTATATCATCCGAATCAGCAAAAGCAGAGCTATCCAATAAGTAACTTATATGTATATATAGGGTGTCCTATTAAGAAAAAAATCGGACCTGATACCTCCAAATCGGGTCCGAATAAAAAAACACTGAGAATATCACTATGGATTCTGCTTGAAAAACTGCCCCTAGAAAGTATTTACGGAAATCAATTATTGCCATGAATAAAAAAGTTATGCAGCTGTGGATGACAATAGTGGAGTGAGTGTGTCGTCGAAACCTTGTCCCGTAACTTAAGTCTTTTTGCTTCAATAATGTCGCAAATGATTATGTACACTGTGGAGTTTTTAGAGTTAAGTGTTTAGGGAAGCTCCTAATTTGCAGAAGAGCCCTGAAGAAGGCCTAAGATAAGGCCGAAACGTCGGCGAATTTTTAATCAAGGAGTTTGATTTCTTTTACTAAACCTCACTATTGTCATCCACTACTTCTAAACCAAGGACGCGAATATCTAAAAGTTATGAAGCTTTTCCTATTGAAAGTGTTTAAATTGGACGACTCATACATGCTAGAAATTAAAATATCATTTTTTATGGAGTACCTATATATTGTTTCTATTTTATCCAGTGGCGGATTTAGAGGGGGGCGCCCCCCCCCCCCCCCCCTATTGAGCGACGCAACCACGAAATTTTTAACGAAAACACAAACATATTCATCAAGCATTATCCAACATGAAATTCCATATGGTTTTTGCTATTTTTCCAAATTTTTAATACTTTTAAATACGTTTGGCAGCAGCGAGCTGGGAGCGAATCGACTGCGGATGACGTAAATCCGCACCAACTTTGAATTTAATCTATAATTGAAAATTCCAATTAAATTTAATCTCCGATTAAATTAAATGTTGATGTCAAATGATAGTTTATGAAAATCTAAGATAGGAATGTGAAATCGGTTTTCCTCTGAAATTAACCGTTCAGATTTTACAGTCACTGTCAAAGTTGCAAAAAGTCAATGTTCAACTGTCAATATTTCCAAAACAGTTGAACTTAGGTATAGGGTATATCACATGAAATCTGCTCAGAATTTTACGTAGAATCCAAATATGCAATCACATACAGGGTGTTTTATTTGAAAAAAAGAAAGTTGGTCTAGATAGCAAACAAACCAGAAGTGACACAGGCAATACGTTTAAGTAGAATTGTGGGAAATATTAGGGACATAAAGCTACTTGAAATAATTCATCGGTATCGGTATCCGTAACGCAACTAGATACGTTGACAAGCGAAAAGGCTGTTAAAGCGCTCCCTGTTCCGGTAAACGTAAACGCATTTCATAACCTAGACATTTTTGTCTCAAAACTTCGACGTTTTTATATCTAACCTTAAAATTGTTATTTTTTTTTGCGATAGAGAAGCACTAAACACAAGAAACTCAAGAAAGTAAAAACTAAACAAATTAAATCAACCCGGAAGAAAAGGGAGGTTATATTCATTTGAAATTTGACACATGCGTCAGGAATGTCAAGATACGTTACCGATACGGATACCGCGAGAGGGCCGTAACGTTACGTTGTACGTACGGTATCTCGGCCTCCGTATCGCTTCTGCACATGCGCAGTACGATACCTATACGGATACCGAGCAAAAAATACGGAAGCTTTATGTCCCTA